CGACTACATTTGTACCAATCTTGTTTGTTATGAGCTGCAGCTTCCTCATCCCCCCGTTCAGCAGGCAGTTTCGCGTTGCAGCCTCTCAGGTTTTATACCTACACATTAAAATGTGAGCAGAGCGCATTATAGCTCCTGCTGGGATGATAACACATAATAATACACGTTGTGCTTTGGGGTCTGGTCACAACAGCAACATCTGCCATCCTTCACTTTGCTCCTTTAGGCCCTCTCAACACTGGTGCTTATCAGTAAATCTAAGTTGTTGTCATATTTCTCGGCACAGCACAGTAATCAATAAACAACATTCTTGGACAAGTGTTTCTTTTCAAGGTGGACTGAAACATTATTGTCACTGAGAAAGCGCTATTTACAGATCTATTGGAACAGGAGGTAAACTGTAGTGGGTCAAGGATAGTGGGGATGTTACATCTAATGTATGATGTGACCAGGTCAAAGAATCTGGACGACAGTCATCAAGGCTGACTGAAACATGGTTCCTTCCTAAGATCCCCAATGATGTCATTACTATAAATAGATACAATTTTTTTTAGATGTGATCGAAAAAGTAAGAGATTCAGAGTTCTGATCTGTGTAAAACACCTCATGATCAGAGCTCTAGAAATATGTATATATTGTTTTGGACCTCACACACTAAAATCCCAAATTATCACCACAATGATTTGCCAATCTCTGGAATTGATCATATTTTCTCTATTACCAATCCTGCACTGGAAAACGTCTCACAATTTTGTAATGTTATTGCTGAGAGACATGCCCATTATGAAAAACATAGAATTTAAGCAACAGTTACAGTCCTTTGCTCTCCCCATAACTCTCCAATGCCACCCACAACAGAGCCAAATGCTGGATCCAATGCCACCCTTGAGGACTGATGAACCTTTTGTTAACAAAGAAGCATCTGCACCAGCATGATTAGGTAGTCAGCTCTCTGCCTGCGATGGTTCCACTAAATTTAATATAGCTTGGTCACACCTCCCACCTCAAGTCAAACAAGTATCTGGTCACATATATTATGTTCAGTTTGAGGCGTCTCAATTGTTTTCTTTAACAATGGTGGTCTATGGGGATGATACAATATGAATGATATACAGGGAGTGGTCATTGGTATACAAATGTAAAGCAATGCTGAGCAGTGGCACCGAATCCAGTTGTTATTGTACATCTGTGTTATGTACACAACTGCTATGTATAGGTAGGTATTGATGCGACATATCTTTGAAAAGCTAAGATTTTTGTGATTCGATTGATGCAAACCATTTCAAGATACAATCACAACAGCAGGTACAATCAACGCCTATGTCAGACCACCAAAAAACAAACAAACAATTACAAAATTGAGGCAACTCACCTATGAAGCCTCATAGTATTCCACCCATTGATAATATTCAGACAATGGCAAAGGTCCAGACGATCCAATCCAGTAAAATATTTAGTCCAAAACACATTATTACGTCAATAAATACCCACGGACTGCTGTTGCATCATTTCAAATCAGCCAGCAGATATGCCTAATTATTTATGTATTTTCCGTAGTAACTCCAGTTCGCATGTCAACATTGCCGGTATCTGGATCTCAAAATGGCGGCTGCACTCTGACCTTTCGATTGACACCTCACTTGACCCAATAGGTGCTTCCATGTCCTGTCCACAGCCTGGAATAGCTAACGAGAGTCCGCGTTGAAGGAAAGTGCCTGTCCCTCTTCTTTCGTGTAAAGACCGAGCCAATTGCAACCAATCGTTTGCAACCAATGACGCTTCGTATAGCCAATGAAATTTTGAAAATGACGATGTGTTGCTTCAGTGGGTAGATTTACAGCCACGACACGGGACGTCACTGCGTAACAGCGAGAGTCTGGTGCCTGCTGCCGTACGTAAATGCAAAGTGTGGTTTTTGAGAGTTTTGGAGACTTTAGGAAAGTGAATAATGGCGAAATAACTTATAAATTACTGTATTACGACATAAATACGCTTTAGTTTGAATTATGAATACACATTTTGTAGATTGCCTTTCCCCAGTGAGTCTGCTGATCTGTTGGGGGGAGGGAGGTGTTTGTGTGTGTGAAGTTTTATTACCCCTTTGTTTCACTGTGTGTGTGTGTGTGTGTGTGTGTGTGTGTGTGTGTGTGTGTGTGT